CAGAAATGAGGACTTTTGTTGCTGGTGGGTCACGTTTTGGGGATCACTGGGAAACTGTGGCATAAATTCCACCTTTTAGGGATTCCCTGTAGGAATGTCTGCCCCAAGCTCTGCCTCCAGCTGCTGATCCAGGTGGTGGGATCTCAGCAAGGAGAGCAGGATTTGTGCACCTGGGGGTCAGTGGTTGTGTTGGGAAGGCCCAATCTCCAGGTAGGACTGCTGGAGGCAGGAGCTGGAGCTGGAAGAGGTGCAGGTCTGAGGGCTGTGAGCCCAGACCCCCCCAGGACCCAGGGCTGGAGTGGTTGGGGGTCCCCAGGCCCTGCACACCCACAGGACGGGGGTAAGGCTGGGTCACTCCTGGAGTTCTGTTGCTTAATTCCCAGAAATTTAGGACTTTTTGCACCTGACAAAGCTGATTTAGCCAAGGAACAGCTCCTTGCTGGTGGGTTCTGTGTAGAGTGAAGATTCCATCCCGTGGTTGCCTGAGCAGCCCTGCGAGGGCTCGGGACCACCAGCCTTATATCCCAGGTTCCTGGGGATTTACTGGGATAACTTCCACAGTGAAAACCCCGGGAGAAAAAGCCCCTTCCTCCTGAGCCAGGGCTGCGCTGCCAGGCTTGGATTTTGACATCAGACACCGGGTTTTTTCCTGCCCTTGTGTAGCCGGGGAAGGCTCGGGGCTATTTTTATCCGGCGCTGGCAGTGGCTGGAGGAGGACGCGGCTTCCCTGGCCCCGACAGCCTTCGCCTCCCTCCCATCAGCTGCCCGGGGCTCCGTGACTTTATTTGGGAAAAGCAAAAGGTGCTCTGGAACAGCCGGGAAGGGAGAGGTGCTGGAGAGGCATCCCGGGCAGGGGCCGGGGGGCTGCGGCAGGTCCTGGCTCCGGAGCCGGAGCCTCATCCCGCGGTGCCCGGGGAAAGAGCCGGGGAAGGACTGAGATGCCCCGTTGTTGCCACGTGAGGAGCCGGGAGCGAAGGAGATGAGTCGGGAGGGAGGTGATGGAATGGGTGACGTCATCAGGAAAGCAGCTGCACCGGCCGGGGAGGGGAGTTATAAAAAGGTAAGGGACAAAAAGGAGCCTTTGTCTGCCCGCGGGAGCCCTCTTGGCAGGAGGGCACCCATGGAATGCTGCCCTACACCCTCCCAGGGCCATGGGATTCTACCTTACACCCTCCCAGGGCCATGGGATTCTACCCTACACCCTCCCAGGGCCATGGGATTCTGTCCAACACCCTCCCAGG